CTATCATTCCAAATTACATGACACAGCATGCATCCTTGCCCGTGACGACGCTCTGTATCATCTGCCGGTACATATGTACATGCGGACATGATACAGATATTCATCTACGATTTGGTGCTTGGCAAAAGCCGGGCCGGCCGGTGTCATGCTCGGCGGTTCTGTGATGCCCAGTAGAAGAGGCCCCATTCTTTCGTCCAAAGCAGTCAGTATTCGGCGGCTCTCGTTATCGGGACCCAGCGCCCATGGACGGGTGGGGTCTCGAATTCATTCCGAGATAAGGTTGGTGCTACCATCTCGGGTCATGAAGAATCGACTCGGCCGTTACTGCGACGCAACGGGGGCCTGATGGAGATACCTCTAGGGTACCAACATTGACGGTAGGGGTCCAAGTTGCGTTTTCATGCCCCGTGCTGCTCGGCACAGTACGTACCACAGCCCCTGCAAGTACCTGGGCAGTACCCAAATAGATGTCGTGCGCCGCGCGTTTAGGATGCAGAAGAGGTACCGCATAGGTACCTTCAAATATACCCTCAAAATATGCCTGCACGACTTTTGATGCCTCTCCACCAGCAAGTCGGTCCGGTTGCTGAAGGAGCTCGGCGCCATCCAAAAGCCACGGCCTTGGACATGGCACTGGCATCAGTTGACCGGATTTGGCGAGCTGCAACGGTTCATATGATACTGAAGGGAGAGCTGCATTTTTACTGTATTATAGAGTAGACGCTCAGTTCCCTCCTCGGAATCTGCGGTGGTCTGGTCAATGGAAGTATATACTAGGTACCTCGGTCGGTGTAGTCTTCTTGCGCACTCGGTAAGGTGTAAGGCGTAAGGTGTCATGCAGACCATGTTGGGCTGCCCGGAGATATGTACTGGCTGCTGTTTCAAACCCGAGGACTCGAGAATGAATGAGAAGAACGGGAAAGAGCGATTTCCCTGAACCCGCAGAACTGGCCCAGTGGCCTGGCGGGCTTGGGGTTACAGCATCGCCATGGTGGGATAACAGTCTAGGTACGGAGTATGCCGCCTTGGAATAGGAGATGTGCTCGACGGCTCGCGCCAGAAAATAGTCCGTCAAAAGTGCCTGGTTCGATTGGGGCTCTCCAGAGGCTTGTTGTGCGCGCTGGCATTTAAATTGCATGTCCTTTACACCATCTCCAAGGGGATGCATACAATATTGCGACAAATACCATGGAATAATACAGCGCGCCGTTGGAGTGTTACAATATACTCGCCGAACGTCGCATACCTACCTAGGTACCTAGGTACCTAGCCTAGGGTATCTATCTGGCATCTGCAGTTGACATTTTCCCGCATAATGCCTGTGCTATCCCAGAGGGTCCAGGGTAGCAAACAACAGCTCCTCAGCCGGTGTCCCCTCTGCTATAATTATTTTCACCATCATTCCTCATCGCCTTCAGTTGTTCATTTGTTTCGCAGGTAGATGTATGCTGTACAAGCACGCAGACACGCAGATGCGCACACATGCGCAGATAAAGTAACTAGCAGTTCTCACGTGTGGCTCTTCAACTTCCTCAACTCCTCACTTACTCCAACTTGGACACACGACACTCCAATCACATCAATCGCAGGCACACTGGCACTCGACTCGTTGGCCCCCCGATGAGCCTGTCGTCGTCGTCGTCGTCGTCGTCGTCGATGCCCTTCAATGTTGCTACCCCTCCATTTCCATTCTTAGCCAGCACTCTCAGTGCGTGGCCCTGTACTCCGTACCATATATACGTACCAGGTGAAGTGAGGAGAGGCTAAAATTGAAATAAAAAATAAAAAAGGGCAGTCAACATGATGTTTCCCTGCAGCAGGCGACAGCAGGCAGTAACGAGTGGCAAGCGCAAGCACTTGACTGACTTGACCGTTTCATCCCGCCACCCTCGTCCATGTCAACGGCTCGGCTGCTCGTCTTGCCACAAAGGTTCAAGGCTGCTTCCCAGGTTGCCAGGTTCGTTTTGGCTGCACGGAGATGATCCGCGTGCCGTGCATTCTCAAACGTCTAATCCCCCACACGATCCAAGCAAGCTTCAAGCTCCAAGCTCCCAGCTAGCTCTGATTCTGCTTTGCGTCCACGTCGGCGCCTGATTCCGGTCCCGACACATCCGTTCACGTCATGTCCATGTTCATGACGGCGCCATCTCGCTCCTGATCCAGGAACTAGTCCCGACCCCATCGCCGGGAGCCAGCTGAACATCACAACGCCGCATGCCCTATATCCACGATGGAACCATCACCGGAGCCTCCTCGGTCAGCCATGGAGTCGGCCTCTGCGTCGGCCTGTGCGTCGGCCTCAACATCTGCGACCACGGTCGACGCGCCGCCTGAATCCTCTATCGCCACGGCTCACCTGGCACGCTTTGAATTTAGCGACTTGGGCACCAAGATCCTCATGGTTGAGTGGCATCCCGGTGCCGCCGCCGCCTCCTCCTCGCCCTCCTCGCCCTCCTCGCCCTCCTCCACTGGCGCTGGTCATACTGAAACCGATACTACTGTTGCTGCTGCTGATGCTGATGCTGCTGACCCCACTACCGGCGGCACTCTCGTCGTTACACATCATGCACCCTCCAAGCCCTTGGCCCCCAAGCCTGCTCCAAACACAGATGCCGCTCCCATACCCGGGGCCCAGGCTATCAAGAACCGTGATTCAGTATCGGCTGCATATGCCACTGCTTGGGAAGTCTCCTGGCCAGGAAAGTCGACGTTTCTTCCAGCCAGAGACACCGACCAAGACGAAGTGGAGACTCGCCGCCGTGTGTACTTCCTTTTGCCACCAGAAGCATCTATTCCCACAAACGTCACCATCACGCCGCCAGGTCAACCAAGCATCCTGGTCAGGCCTCTCCCTGCCATTTTCCCTCCTGGATTCAATGTTGAGTCTGGCACTCGCGGCGTCCTGCATACATTATGGGCAAAGAAGCGCTTGTCGGAGCTCCAGTGCGAGATGGATGCTGAGATGCGAGCTAATGCGGAAAGTGTTGGCTTAGAGATGGCTCTGACTGAGAAGCAATGGATCATTGACAATTTTCTTCCTCCTCCATCCTCACCGGCACCTACGTCTCCTACGTCTCCTACGTCTCCTAGGTCGTCTGTCCCCGGCCGGCTGGGAGATAAGCTCAAAGGGCTTCGGCTGGCAACTTCGCCTCAAGATCTAATGCCCAGTCCCACAGGTGAGTGTAATTCGACGTCCCCATATCAATACTTTGAAATCGCAACTAGGTGTTGACATGTGGCCACAGCAAACACGTTTACCGGCGCCGACGTTCCATCACAATCATTATCGCCATTGGGCGGTGATATTGCTGTATCCTCATTCTCCGCCATTTCTCGTGGCAACGGCCTCACACAAACCATGTCATTAAACGCCGCCATGCAGGGGAACACGCCACCAATCGACCCGAGCTCTCGTGACGATGATGATGACCTGTTCGCCCTTCCGCTCAGTCCGCGGAGCCCGGGGATGAAAAGGAGCCCATTCAGCGCTCTATCATGATTGCAAAACCTCGAACTTTGCGCAGCTTTCGGTGGCTTTTATGATGTGGTCTACTTTGTCACTTGAACTTGCACATGATACCCATTGATCGCAAGCAATAACTACAAAAAAAAAGAGAAAAAAAAAAGGAGTAAAGCTGACGAGACCCAGAGGATAACACAGATATTACACCGGCTATTAAAGGTACCCTGCATGAAGACAGGGAAGCGATCTATAAATCTAAAAATCCTAAAAAAAAATCAAGGAAATTAAAAATTGATACCCGTTGTGGTATCTGTCTTATCTCTGGGTCTCGTCAGCTTCAATCCTTGAAGGTTGCAACCGGCAACTTACTTGCTTTGGTCATGTCGCTGTGAGATTTAACTGCTTTGGCCGATGTCAACAAGTGCCTTGTGGACCAGGGAAGTTGAAGTTGTGGTGCTTTGTAGTGGCGAGGACTTACGAGCAGTTCATGTTGTGCAGGTTCGCGATATTAACTGGCAGGTGTGAAGCCGGGCTTCAATGTTAAAAGATTAAAGAGAGGTTAACGGGAGAAAAACCTTATGAATATATGTTATGTGTGGCCGTTTTAAGTTTTTAAAGTGAGCTATTAACATGTATTCTATCCAGGTTTAAGTTTACTTTCATGTAATTAGTAGCTGAAGTTATCGCGAGATAGCTTTAAACGGCGTGCCGTAAAGGCCCGTAATAAATTACTAATCTTATTAGCATTTAACGTATTATAACGCGGTCATAGTGTATTACGTGGTATGTTACGGTTCTTAAGCTTAATACGGCTAACACATGGTATTACCAGATGTAATACTTGTATGATGCTTATATTATTACTTATATAAAGAAAAAAAAAAAAATAACTTATGAAAAAAAAGTAGAAAAGAAAAGGGCAGTTGCCTGGCATATCGGATGCCCGGGTCGTGTCTATCCATGACTTTCCTCTGGATTGATCCAAATTTCGTCTTGGAGGAGGGACTGAGTTGCGCTTACAACACATAGAGAAGCCCCCAATATTAGCACTGCCAGATTGTTACCCCTACTCCTTGATGATTTCACGACAGTCTCGACTGGCAAGAGAAGCAGCGCTACACTAGCGAGCATGACGCACATTCAAATAAAAGTGCAGAACGTGAGGAGCAGCGACCAAGATGAATCCCGACACAGGTTTTTGTTGTGTTGAGAAATTATACAAGGTCATGGAGTATTTGTATCCCACCACGTCCAAAGAGGACAATGTCAATGCCAACCATGCCTTTGCACAAAATAGCACCATGGTTCTCCGTCCATTCTCGGCCGCAGATGCAAACGTCAATAGGAGTACCAGTTGCCTCGGAGCTTACATCTTCAGACAACCCCCGACATCCCAAAATATATATATGCGCTGTCGCAGCCCCCACGTCCACCCGGCACGTCTGAAGAAGGAGAAGAAGAAAGAATTCAAGTCATGAAATCGTAAGCGTTAACCGTTGTTCGTCGCGGCAGTCACCGCCAGCCACCGACTCTCCCCTCATCCCACCTCTCCTTCCTCTCCTGCCTCAAACAACACAGCACCTTTGCCTCCCGATACCGCCGAATCCACTCCGTCACCTCCCTCTCCGACGCGGGGACGCCGTCCGCGCCCGCGCCCGCGCCGCCCTCGAGGAAGCTCTCCTCCATGGCCTGGCACACGAGCGCCTGCTCCTGCACCCCCTGCGCCAGCTGCTGGTACAGCGAGGCCGGGGAGAAGGGGGCCAGCGCGTGGTCCATGTCGGACTGCTTCTGGCGCCACTGCCTCTCGAGGGCGTGCGTCGCCAGCAGCTGCGCCTGCGTCGTGGAGCGCTGGTGCGCGAGCCGCGCCTCGGCGCCGCGCAGCTGCCTCGCCAGCTGGGTGTTTTGGGCCAGCGCCGCCGAGAGGTTCGCGTGCGACGTCTTGGTGCTGTCGTGCGACGAGGTGGGCGCGTGCGCTAGGGCGTTGAGCAGGACCGGGTTGGCGAGGATGTCCGCCAAGTCTTGCGTTCTGGAGGAGGTTCCTCTGTTTAGCATTGTTTTTGCGTTTTTGCGGCCGAAGAGAAGGGGTGGGGGCAAACACGTACGACTTGTCTCTTAGTATTTCGGGCAGCCAGCCGTCGCCCGGGTCGGGGATCGGCTCGGAGACTGTCAATGGGGGGGGCGTTGAGGCCGCAGAGACGATTTGGCCGTCGCTTGGGAGCGGTCGAGGTAGGAAGGGCGGGGGAGGTGGTGACGAGCTTGTGGTGGGAGTGCTGATGCTGCTGACGTCGTGGCTGCCGCCTTTGGGGGGTGGTGCGGGGGGCGTCGAGCTGTGCAGCTCTGGGATAAAGCTGGACATTGTGTGTTGTGAGGCCGTTTCTCTCTCTCTCCCCTTCTTTTCTTCTTCTCCGCTGTGACGTCGGAGTCGGGATATGTTCCTGGAGGTGTAGTTGAATTAAAGCTGGGAGAGACGCGCATCGAGCTGCGTGGCGTTTGGTGGGGCGGCGACAACCACAAAGGACATTACTCCGTACATTGTACATTGTGGGGATGCAGAAATCGGAACCCAGGCTACACATGTTGGAATACCTGACATCTATGTGCCCTAGGTACCCATGCTCTTGACATAAGATCATGGTATAACTACACGGTTTACATTGCTCCTGCACTTAAACACCAGCCCAATTACAGTGTTACCCGCATTTCCTGAGCTTGTTGCAGGTCATCATGATTTACATGGAATATGTGCTTTGCACGCCCCCAAACCTTCCAAACACATTGGTACTCTCGCAACTGACCCAACTGTCTTTCTTCACTTAGTTTCTAATTGACCACAGATCTCTTGACCACCCCATATATCGAAGCTCCTTGCTGGCCGAGCCAACAGGCCTCTTGCTATCCCCCGTTGCAATAGCTAGTGCCTTGCTGCACGCTGTAAACGCCTCCACGAGTTCCGTCATTCGCCCGGCACTCAAAAACGCGTCCGCCAGGTCAGAGTTCCTTTCTGCGATGACGGAAGCCAATTCCATGCATTCCAGGAGGTGATCGCGTGTCAGGCCAGTTCCCGCAAAGTGTAGCGCGCTGACGTATGCCAGGATCGTCTCCGGTAGGTATGCTTGTCTGAGCCTTTTAAGCTCATTGTCGCCGGCTGTACAGTACAGTTAGCAATCTTGTCAACACGCATGTCATGGGAGACTGTTCGCCAGACGTACCTTCAATGCCAGATATGAGCCAGTTGCGCAACAAGGGCTGCATGTTGTCCTTGGTCGCGTCAATTGTGGCACCCACGCCGTTCCAGAAATCTCGGTTGGATGCATCAGCACTGATATGTGTGTTAGTATTTACGTGTCCTCGCCGTGGGATTAGCAAATGCCAACGTACTCCCTAGATATCACAACGAGCGATGCCATAGTCTCGAGGTTGTCGAGCGCCTTAACAAGAGCCTCGAGTTCTCGGTAGTTCCGCGCGTCAGCCATCACCTGCTCTGGCCGTACGTTTTCGATACCACTCAGCTGCAGCTGTTGAACCCAGAAGTTGACATCGTCATACATGGCCACATCTCCCTCGTCCTGATCCGTCATGCCTCGCATAACTTCGCTAAAAGAAACCTTCTGCATCAGTCTTCGCGCTGCGTTAAGCCGGCAGTTCCCTGTTGTAGCCCGTTAGCACCGTATATATACAATCAACGAGTTCTGAAATGCCGGCCCGCAGCTGCATACTAAGGAAGAATTTGTACACTCTTGTGCCAATAGAAAATACCTGGGGCCAGGTTTCGCTGACCGTGAGGAGCCACTCTAAAGATCGGATGACGTGGACATCCTTGATGTCAACCTCGTCCTCCTCCTCCCCAAAGAAGTCGGGTTTGATGGGCCTGCCATGCCGAGCAGTTGCTGGGCCATCACCTAGAATGTTGAGCAATTTTTCGGCAGCAAATGAGGTTGCATCATGATCCAGCTCATCAAATAATAGGGTCGCTTGCCTCTCCACAAACGCCAATACGTCTATTCCAGCGCGCTTGATGAGTTTGAGTTGCGTCATGCGATTGTTTGCGTCGGGTTCTTCAATGACATTCCAAGCAAGAACTTCGTAAGATCGAGGGCTGTCCAAGACCGAGCAGTACAGTGGAATTAGCTCCTGGAGCTTGCATCGTCGTAAATAGTCTGTGTAACTAGCAAGGATATTCTCCTGGATGAATCGTTTGTCTGGAGGGAACCCGGGCTCCATCCAACTGTGACGATGGCCTTCGAACCGTTTCAATAAGGCGATGAGGACGAACACGTGAGCGACAATCCGTAGTCCGCTGTGCTGTGGAAAATCGAAATACTTCTCCTCTACAACATCATCAAGGGCTCCAAGACCCCTGCGAACAAGACGAGACTTTTCGAATTCATTTGCGCGTCGGGTCAGCACCTGTCCTTGTTCAAAGAGATGACGTTCTAGTTCCTTCGCAATGAACGATGCCTGAAGGGCCTTGTTGGGCTCCCTAGCTTGCGCCTCCATGTTTGGTCTTGATTCAATAGAGATGATGAGTCGCTTCTCAATGCCCTCCTGGTTACCGTGAAACTGTACTGCATCAAATGATGGGAACGATTGCGTCAGGTTTGACGCTACATCAGATGGGCACTGAGATAGCATGTATGTGTCGATTTGTGATCGAAGAAGGGCGTTGTAGTTGGCAAAAAGGTAATCGTCCCACGTCTTTGCTACCCTTTCCACACTCAAGATGTCTCCTGACAGCACTCCGTACACAGCCCGCTCGTCATCAGAGGAGCCCCCTTGTCTGGCCAATGCAAAACACATTCTTCGCCATAGTGCCAAGGCTGACGGGTCAATATTCGATGCGGGACTTTGGTTGTCATCAATAGACAGTGGCATGGCGGACATTGAGACGGCCCTCCACAGCTCCGTCCGCTCTTGGCACCACTCACGTATATCTTTCAGGCTGCTACCTCGTCGCAAATGCTTAAAGCACCCAAGCCATATAGCCCGCTCAAAGAATTCATCTTGAGGTTCCAACTTGCGGCGCTGTCGGGTGGAGGCATCAGGGTCGAGGTGTGTAACTAGCGGTGAGCCGTCCGCGTTAAGATGGGATGCTGTCACATTGGGCGACTGACGATCTAACAAATGTGGCCACGCTGTCATGCTCTTCCTGAGCTTTATTTTTGATCGTGTGTGAAGCCAGCCGTGAGCAATTATGTCTCCTCTATCCGCATCTTGCTGAAGTTTTCGAGCTAGGTCGTCGATATCTGGCCCAGAGGCAGAATTGGTTTGCAGCCATTGAAGAACAGCACGACGCTCCAAGGCAAGGCCGTCAGTCGTGAGGTATTCGCTTACGTAGTCTCGTCGTGCCGGTTTTGAGGCCGAAAATGGAGAAAATCGCATCGACTCGTCATTCGAATCCGAATACCGCAAAGGAAGAAGCCGCCGGAAAAGGTCCCACGTTTCAACCTCCTTTTCCAGCTGCTTTAAATCATCTGAGTTCTCTGTTTTGGCCCCATTACTCAACCGCTCATCCATGTCCATGTCTATGTCCTCGCTGCCGCCTCGTGCACTCTTGGGTCGCTTCTGTGCTAACCGGCGGATCGCATTCTCGTGGTACTTGCGTGGAAGGTCCAAGACACGAGCCTTTTTCTCTTGAACGCTGAGGCCTGGCATTAAGCAAGCATCCAAAGCGTTAGCAAAATCTTCGACCTCTGGTCCGGGGTTTACAGCGGCCATCTGTTGTTGTTGTCTCTTGCTCGGGTCCATCTTGTCCGCGACAGGCCGTTGGCTCTCCACTGTACATGAAACTGAGTCGACAAACGAAACGGTCCGTAAACGGCGGTCGAATGCGCGGTCAATGACTCTGTCGGGTGACCGCCAAAACGCCTAATGCTAACCCTTCAGAGTGTCAAGAGTCTCGGCAGGGTAGCTTCAGGCTGGCATCGGCATGACTCCACTGCCTGCTACGAGTGAAGATGATCAGCAGCAATGGGCGACTTCAATCGCCGAGCTTATCAATTCGTAGATGTCGAGCAGCGTTGTGGTTGCGATCAGAGAAAGTTGGCCAAGCTCGACGTTGGTGTTTTTGCAACTTTGGACGTCTTTGAGCTCCAGCAACGTCCAGCCTGCACTTGACAGTTTCTGGGCTCTTTCTTGGTTGCCGTTTCACCCCCTGCATGGACTTTTCGGTGACCCACTGTGACGTTTGGTCCACCTTGCACCAGGCCGACTGCTGATAGGCTGCCAGTCACCAAATGGCCCCCGCAAGGCACAGCCCCCATTCATTTGACGCCTGTGTACCTGTCAGAATGGGTCACTTATTACGGGTACCAATTACGTACGCATAATTAAATAAGGGTAAACCCTTAACTACGAGTAAATAACCCTAATAATAAGCGTACTTATAAAAAGAGCGTATATAATTCTCTCTTTTATAATTAAATATAAACTTATATATATATATTATTATTATAATTAATACTCTTTAAAGTATAATAATTATAAGCTTAAGAGAACTTTAAATTTCTTATAACTTTTACTTAAGAAAATTAAGTATTTAAGGTATTATTTTAATACTTATTTTATTATATTTACGTATTTAATAAATATTAATATTACTTTTATAAACACTTAATTAT